CGTTGACAGAGAGGAGAAGGTAGAAATGACTCAGTCTGGAACTGAAAATATGGATGGAGGACAACAGAGCTGCTTCATGAAACTGAGGCCCTGTCCATGTTATATATTTTTTAAAATTTTAGTCTAAAATTCATAAAAACTAAATAGCCTACAGTATTTTAAAGTATTTTTTAAGTGTCTTCAGATGAATAATGTCAGCAGAATGTCCTTGAAGCTCTAACGGGTTGAAAAGGAGGCCTACAGGTGTGCAGTACTTTCGCAAAACTTAAAACTGCTGCTCTAAAGTGACCAAAAGACACACTAAATGTTCTTTTTTCAAACAGCTTACAGTCTACCTCTGTGTTCTTTTCCCAGCCTCCCACCAAGACTTTATCCCAGTCACCGCCGCTGCACAGGGCCTGTGAGGCCAAGCCGAGCTCCGCAGCAGCACCAAACCTGGATGCTGACTCCTCGCAAAGCAGCAAAACTCGACTGGAGCCCAAGGAGCCGAACTCCCAGCTGGACGAGTTCAGGAGCCAAATCAAGGAGCTGCTGCTGACTGTGGAGCTGCTCAAAGCCCAGCAAATGTATTCCTACTTCATCTGCACAATATCGGGCTCAAAAGAAAATTTATAACATGCAGGAAGAATAATGTAATATGTGGCTCTGGTGCATCAGTCACATTTATTTAGACATTTGTTTCACAGAGTCTGAGCACAAACATTTAATCTGAAATAACACAGTAACAGACAGAACATACCTGAGATGCTGAATAACCTTAATTAACAGAACAAGCAGTGGGTCCAACAATCAAGTTACTAGTGGTGAATCAGTCAATAATAATCTTGTTTTCAGAATGTGTAAGATTATTTGTCTTGTTAGTCTGAAAATTTGACTCAAATTAAGTCATAAATTTCTGCCAATGGAATAAGAAAATTTTACTTGGTAAGATTCTTGAAATACTTGATTTGACTCAATTTTTCTTATTTCAAGAATCTTACCAAGTAAAATTTTCTTACTCCATTGGCAGAAATTTATGACTTAATTTGAGTCAAATTTTCAGACTAACAAGACAAATAATCMTACACATTCTGAAAACAAGATTATTATTCTTACACAATCAGTTCTTGTTTAGTAAATCAGTCTCAAAACAAGATCAAAAAGACTTTTTGGCTGATATAAGATTTTAAAACTTGGTAAGATGAACAGTTTTTGCAGTATTTCTGTCGTGTTTGCAAAATCTCTGGTTAAAAACAGAAATACCAAATCTTCCTCCTAACTCCACCTCCTTTAGCTGGAAACATACATCCAATTTGCCAGCCCTGTGTWCCTTGTGTTGTTTCTGTTGGCGGGTGACGTGTGCCGCAGTGGGAGGGGCTTCGATTAAATTGTCAATGCCAAAAAAACTAAACAAAAATTCCACGACCACATCAGCGAGATCAGATGTCTTGCATCTGGAGTATAAATCAGTTTTAATTCCTCAAACAGAGGTTGGTAAAGAGGGAGCTGTAATATACTGTTAATAATTTTTTAACAAAATATCAAAATGACTGAATTGTTGTTTGAACTGGTCGCACTGATGGCATGTTTGTGTGTTTGTTTCCAGGAAAGAGATCTCAGAGCTGCGGGGAGAGCTGGATGAGGAGCGACTGAAGCGTGTGACCCTGCAGGTAACATGCTGAACTGTCTGCATTCATTACTCCATCTGCTCACACAATTTATGCTTTTGCTGCTTCATTTTTGGGCACCTGGGAATATTTAACAGAACTCTGCAGCTCTGTAACCACAGTACAGTCAAATTAGTTTGTAATGTAATAAAGAAAGAAAAACTTGACGGAAATAACTTGAAGCTGATAAAAGAAAAACAACTAATGAAATATAACGTCATTTAAGTTTTGGTTCACCTGTGTAGCGGAACCCCCCTATTAAAAACCATTAAATATGATCCCTAATGAGAGTTTCTCTTCCTGGCTCAGAATGGAAGTGTTGGAGCAAAATGAGTCAATCACACAAACACAAGAAACAAAGTCTTTCAGGTTCATTTTGGCCAGTTAAAGTTAACTGACCTTTATTAAAACAGATTAATACGTGATTAATATTTGTAGTTGCATACCATGAACAATGCAAACAGGCTCTTACTAAAAATGTTCTCATTTTTAAGCAATTGTCTAACAATTTGTCCAAGCAAAAGCAGATAAATTTAAATACATTTTGGGTCAATGTACAGCAGGTAAAAAAAGTATTGAACACGTCACCATTTTTCTCAGTAAATATATTACTAGAGGTGCTAATGACATGAAATTTTCACCAGATGTCGGTAACAACCCAAGTGATCCACACATACAAAGAAATCAAACCATAAATGTCCAGAAATGAAGCTATTTGTAATAATGTGTAATGGCACAGGGAAAAAGTATTGAACACACTTACTGAAATTTATCTAATACTTTGTACAAAAGCCTTTGTTGTCAATGACAGCTTCAAGACGCCTCCTGTATGGAGAAACTAGTGGCATGCATTGCTCAGGTGTGATTTTGGCCCATTCTTCCACACAAACAGTCTTCAAATCTTGAAGGTTTCGTGGACCTCTTCTATGAACTCTGATCTTTAGTTCTTTCCATAGATTTTCTGTTGGATTCAGGTCAGGTGATTGGCTGGGCCATTCCAGCAGCTTTAGTTTCTTTCTCTGAAACCAACTGAGAGTTTCCTTGGCTTTGTGTTTGGGCTCATTGTCTTGCTGAAATGTCCAGCCACGTTTCATCTTCATCATCCTGGTAGATGGAAGCAGATTTTTATCAAGAATGTCTCTGTACATTTTTCCATTCATCCTTCCTTCAATTATTTGAAGTTTGCCAGCACCATATGCTGAAAAATAGCCCCACACCATGATGTTCCCACCTCCAAACTTCACTGTTGMTATGGTGTTTTTGGGCTGATGTGCAGTGCCATTTGACCTCCAAACATGATGTGTATTCTGGCATCCAAACAGCTCAATGTTGGTRTCATCTGACCAGACTATATTCTCCCAGTATTACACAGGCTTGTTTAAATGTTGTGCAGCAAACTTTAAAGGAGCTTCAACATGCTGTTTCTTCAGCAGTGGAGTCTTGCGTGGTGAGCGTGCATACAGGCCATGGTGGTTCAGTGCATTACTTATTGTTTTCTTTGAAACAAACGTACCTGCTAATTCCTGGTCTTTCTGAAGCTCTCCACAAGTGGTCCTTGGCTCTTGGACAACTCTTCTGATKATTCTTTTCACTCCTCTGTCAGAAATCTTGTGAGGAGCACCTGGTCGTGGTCGGTTTATGGTGAAATGATGTTCTTTCCACTTCTGAATTATGGCCCCAACAGTGCTCACTGGAACCTTCAGAAGTTTAGACATTCTTCTGTAACAGATGCCATCATTATGCTTTGCAACAATAAGGTTGTGAAGGTCTTGAGAGAGCTCTTTACTTTTACCCATCATCAGATGGTTCTTGTGTGATACCTGGCCATCATTTGGGACTGAACCAGCTGATATTAACTTGCACTGAGAAGGGGCAGGCTTGCTTTCTAATTACTGAGAGAGTTCAGCTGGTGTTTTTGGCTTTCAATTTCAAAGAAAATTATAAACCTGTTAAAGATAAAGGCTGTAACAGCTTGATGCTCTTCTGACTACAGCTGCACATATTCAGAAGTTTAAGGTCCACAGGATTGGAGACATCCTCCCTGGCCTTGAGCACAGAATGTGAATGATAACCATAAACCCAGAACAACCTCCAAAGAAACTAAAGATGAACACCAAAGTCAAAGTACAGAACATCAGTATCAGATCACACCATCAGTTGTTGTTTGAGCCAAAGTGGACTTTATGGGAGACAAACAAGGAGGACACCACTGTTGTAAAAAAGGCATAAAAGGGAGACTGACATTTGCCACAATGCGTGTTGACAAGCCAAAGCTTCTGGGGAAAAAAATCTTCTGGACAGATGTGACAAACTGGAGCTTTTTGGCAACACGTTACATAAACTTTATGTCTACAGCTGCAAAAATAAAGCATACCAAGAAAATACCACTGTCCCTATGAGGCGGCTCGGTTCTGTTCTGGGTCTGCTCTGCTGCATCTCGCACAGGGTGTCTTGAATCAGTGCAGGTGTGATGAAATCTCAAGACTATCAAGGCACACTGGTGAGAAATGTGCCGCCTGGTAATTAGAAAGCTTGGTCTCAGTCGTAGGTCGTGGGTCTTCTGAATTTTACATGAGCGAGCTGTGAGAAAGCAGATAGATCCAAGTCTTTAGACCTTTGATACCAACCTGGTGCAGTTTAAATCTTGTAGCTCCGCACGGCTTCAGCTACAGAAGAGGAGCTCCATCTTTTTCTTTTAATTTTCCATGTCCTGGATGACTGAGAATCTACAAAAATATGTGATACAACTAGGGCTGCAACTAACGATTATTTTAATAATCGATTAATCGGTCGATTATTTTTTTCGATTAATCTGCCAAATCATTAAAATACGTAATTACATAAATATAAGTAGATATAAATTAATTAAATTCCTGTATAAATTAGGGATGCAAGTTATCATTTAATGTGTAGTTGTCTGAAGTTGATTTATCTTATAGATTGACTAACGATTAACTGATAAGCAGCCATTTTCTTAAAAACCAGAGTTTTCTATTGAATCAAAAGGGTCTTTTCATAAAATGAAGGATTTTTTAAATAATATGCTAAATTAAAAAAGAAGCACATCGTAAATATTTTCACAATTGATTTTGCAGCCGTATTAAACACTGACAGGGAAAAAAACAAAAAATGTGTATTTCTCATGCATTAATAAACTTAGTTATAGCTATAAAACATAACAAAACAGAAATTTAACAGGTTGCTTAATGAGGAAAACAGATAAAGAATAAAATCTGATTTTTAGATGTAAAACTATTATTAATTTGTTATTATAATTAACATTTATTTGCGTTTAGAGTTTATGATTTTTCTCTAATTCTTTACGTTTTGCTTCCCTCTGTCTGTGGCTAAAACAGTGTTTTATGACCCAGTAAGCAGTCCCTCTCCATCCCCTACTGAGGCAGACCAGGAGTTCTGCTTGTGTTTATTTTTTTTTATCCTTCGTCCTGAACCTTTTTGTTGCTTATCAAATAACTTTCAGCCTCGGTCAGAAAAATAAAAAAACAGTACGTGTTTCCTCCTCACAACACGGCTTGCATCAAATCAGATCATCATTAAAAAAAATTTTATGTGCCATATACTTTTTATCATAACTTCAGATCTACTTAGTCTCTAACAACGCATTTTAAGAACTGTTTTAAAGTTTGAAGTCTCTACATTTCTCTCTAGGGTCTCAGAGAGGGTGGACGCTTTTAATAATCGATTTTTATTGGTTTTATCGATTCGTTGTTGCAGCTCTAGATACAACATCACATACTAAAGCTACTGGATCGATACTTGACTTCCAGCATGTTGCTCTTGTTAAAATAATTTTTTATCACCAGAGCAGCCCATCAGAGGATGGTTAAAATGTAAACAGTGAAACTAAAAAAGCACGTCAGATAAATGTTTAATCTAATCTGACCGCACAACAACTTCAGATTCGACATGCCAACAAGCATCATCCATGTTTAGCTAATCCTGTAAAACAGTTGAATCATCATCGTTTTCTGTGCTTGCAGGTCACATCAGGCCTGTATTGAGTTCCCACTGGAGTATGATGGAGGTCCTGTTTAGAATATAACCTGAACGTCCACGCAGCAAAATTGGATTGAAAAAAAAATCAGAATTGAGCATTAGGACCTGCAGTCATTTATGTCCAGGCCTGTTTCATTTTTTTGTTTTGTAAAGTAATTCTTTTGAACCAAAATTCAAAAGCAATGTGTGACTTTCATTGGCTAATTTTTAGTAAATTTGCTGTTTTTAGTCAATTTGAATGATTAAATAATTGAATAATGATAAAAAAAAAACATGCTGAATGCTAGTCACAACTTATTATGCAGCCATTTTTAGACATACAAAGCTCAAGATTAGTGTAGAAGTATCTGAAAAACAATCTTTACCTAATTCTAAAATCTAATCAAAAACTCAAGATGGCCACCATAACTTTAGCCATGTTAAGACATATTGAGATTAAATTTTTTGAGGAGTAGCTAAGAATGATCACATGCCAATCACCAATGTTAAACCCAAATTAAGCTAATTACTGGTGCTACCGTATTTATTCAAGTATAATACGTAAAATTTAATCCATAAAATCATCCATAAAGTTGGGGGGTAGTACTATACTTGGATAAATATTTTTACTTATGTATTTTAACTGAAATATCGGCTTCATTCTCAAAATGCCTGAGTCCAGAAATGAGACCGCGTTGTAAAAATCAGTTGAAACGAGCTTACCTCTGACACTCCTCTGTGCTTCAGAGCGAGATAATAACAGATCCAGGCAGGTGACATGATGTGAAAAAAGGGAAAAAGCAGTCCTGCACCATAGTAATGATAGCGAACTAATGACATTAGTGTGTGACTGAGCCGCTCCTCGAACAACAAACACATGTTCATCTGTAATGGCTGCCATCTACCAGTGTTCTTAAAGTTTGTATCCCTGAAAAAAGTTTCCCCACCAGAGGGGGCGCTCGCGAGTAGGAAGTAATCTGCTTTTCCCCCACAAGATGGTCCAAATCTCATGTGAAGTCTCTGACTTTTGTGTTGGCGCCTCCTGGTGGACTATGTGTAAAATGCCAGAATTCATATGATGCTGCTACAGCTGATATATATTTGTTGTCAAAATACCTTTAATACATATGTTGTTAAAATAAAATGAACAGTCCAATGATCATTTTACTGATATGTATAAAGACTGCAAAGGCTGAAAAATCTTGAAGTCTGTATGAAATTGGAGGTAGTTTGAGGATTAAATTTTTTATGCTTTTTAAGCTCAAAAAAGGAGAGTCATATTATACATGAGATCGTATTATACATGAATAAATACGGTAATTTTATAAAGGGCTATAATTCAGCCATTTTTAAATGGTTAAAAATTAGTACAGCAATATTGGAGAACAATCTTTAACAAAATGTAAATGCATATGCCAAATCTAACCCCCCACCCCCATTTTAATTATTTAATTATGGTCAATCAGCTGACAGGGACGGGTTGATCATCACAATCACTCAGAACGTTCTTTCTGCCATTTCTCACAAAGCAAAGCAGCTGTCTGATCCAGAAGCCCAGACTGAGCGTGTGTTTCTTGCAGATGGAAGTCGAGGAGCTAAAGCGAGCCATCCACCTGACGTGAAGCGTTTGGTCCACACGCCAGCGAGCCCGTTGGCCAGCCGCCAGCCCACCAGGCGAGGAAGAGGAGGGGACCAGTAACCGAACAAACAAAGAAAATGTGGTGACTCTCCTGAACCAGCTTGAGCACAATCATTTTTCAATGATCTAAAAAAAACTTATATTTGTAAGATTTACATTTTGCACATATCATTTGTTTTCGAGCTAGGTGTAATTACAAATGGATGTTTCAGTTCTTTTTTTTTTTTTTTTTTTTGCCAACACAATAAAACAAAAACCCAGAGGCCTTACTTCAAACTGCTGTGGTGGACGGTTGTGCCTCTGCTCCACTCCGGCAGTTCTTCCTGCCTTCAGGGAGATGAGGTCCGCTCTCAATACTACTGACTCTGTGTACAGCAGGGGGCGCTTGTTTTCCTTACCTAACTTCCATTCTTCTTCTTTTATGATGCACAAGTATTTGATTTTACACCAAGATGTATGATTTGAGTCGTGGGGTTATGGTTCTTGTGAGGCAGCTGTGGAGCTTCACTTTGGAGRTTTCTGTCTTTTTATATGTTTTCTAACATTCCTGTCCAGGGTAACACTAATGTGCCTGTTTAAAAATAAATATTATAAAGTGTTTGTAATGGGATCTGGAATATGTCAGCATGATATTACGTTACTATATTTTGAAGTTTCCTGAGAAGCAGATTTTATGTGATATTGGCTTTTTGTAACTAAAACGATTTTGATCACATTTCATTGGAAACAAGTGATCTCTTTCTACAACCACCACCTAAAACATGTTGATTAAATATTTAATGATAAATCCTACAACTGCGCCACCGCTCAGCTGTCAAAACTCTGCTGACAGAATGGTTTGATGAGCATGCTGATTTTCCCCGTTTTCCTTTATTTATTAAATGATTGATTAAATGCAGCATTGGGCCAGAATTTGACTAATAAATACCCAGCAATGTATTTTGATAACCCTGACTGGTTTTACATGAGTTTTTGTTGAATGTTTCCAATCTTTGTAAGCAAAATTGATACTTGTTCACAGTATCAAAGCTATGAGAGACTTTTAAAATGTGATGGGTTGTGTTTGTCAGTTTGGGCTGAAAATACTGTTAAATAAAAGCATGTGGTTGCCTCAAGTTATAAATGTTTTTTTTTTACCGAAACAAGTTTTGACTATAGTTCCCAATAAGCAGATTACCTACTATAAGACATTCACATTTTTTTTCTGTTTTATTGTTTTGTACAAATAAAAGGAAAACTTTCTCCAAAACAGCCATAAGACCACGCCCACCATTCCAAGTAAGGGTCAGGTTCAGGTTGTTGACTCCTCCCACAAAAGTCAAAGCAACAAGCTATGCCCACAAAACAAGAAACTCCCACTTAGTGACTGCAGAGAGCCCCTTCTTCAATTTTAAGCTACACTTTATTGTTAACAAGCAAGTTTATGACAAAATCAAGACCTGTTTCAGCTTGTAAAACTAAAATACATCGTGAACATCGTTTCATTTCTGACCTCTGCCCACGTTGACCGCCACCTCCATTTTTATGATTTAACCAGCTGAAATACACGTCTTAAATGAACGGTTAGATTTAGACCAGTTTTTAAATAAAATGAAATATCTGTGTGGTTTTTGACCTGGGCTTTGATGGCTGAAGCCTCATGGTTTTCGTCAAGAGTGCGTCTATCCAGGTGTCAAAACCCAACTTTGGCATATTTCAGACCAGTTGGAGATTCCCACAATGACTTGGGAGTCATTTTTAGACCTTTGTCACAATTTTTAAACATGTTTCAACAAGACTGACACCTGACAACCCCCCACAAAAATGGTAAAACCTTTTGGGAACTCTCCTGAACACCTCTGGCCGGCAGTCGCAGCCTAATGAGATACTGACCTCATAGTGGTTATATTAACCAAACGTTTGTCTTTGAATCTGTTGGTCATGTGCCGACATTCAGCAACAGATCAAACCTTAAAACTGCACATTGGGCTTCACAGGAGTCGTCCAATCAGTAGTTACTGTAAGCCTTTTAAATGTTTCTGAGCCACGATACAAGTCAACCAAACTGAGTGCAGGAGCTGGTTTTCATTGGTCAACCATCAAATACAGCTTTAAGCTGTCTGTGTTCTTTCTATCAACCATCCATGAGCTAAGACCCTTTAGTGTGGTGGTGAATAATGAACATGTTTGTTTTTTAACTGGTAAAAGAAGTTAAAATAATCAGAAGGAAATGTTTGGTGTAAAATATTGATTGCACATGAGCCAAATAACTTCGGGAGACATTTTTTTCCAAATTGAAAGTTACTGTTTCACACCTGCTACTGTATACCACAAATGGAAATACTTTTCCTGTGTGTATTTGTGTATTTTTCTTTTTCATGTATGTATATCTCACAAATGTCTTAAAAGTCTAATTGTGCTTTTAATCCTCTTAGGTTTTGGTTGAATTAATTCTAAGCTGCAGAGGGCTAAGTCTAAACTCAAATTCTGACCTTAATGAGTTTGAGTTATGCGTTATGTGCCGATTCCTGCCGGTAAATCTGTTTTTATTAATTTTTTTTTCACATTATGGCTGGAAATGATCCTTGTGTGAATGGAGGAACTGGGAGTTTTTTGGGTGGAGGATGTTCAGGCTCTTTGTGTTTATGTGTAATAAAATGTAACTTCCATATATTGTACAATTCAGAGTCGGACAGCGCAAACTGAAGAAATCTACACATTTATAACATATTTTCTGGTGATTTTGTTTACATGCATTGTATCTTTGCATGAGCTGAGATTTCTTGCCAAAATGAATAAATATCTATTTCGTGGAAAAGACTCCTCTCTTTCCATAAGCTGTGTAACACATTTTGAAAGCTTCCATGCTGTCACAACAACCTCGGGGCCTTTTCATGCCTGAAATCCTGACAGTATTCTTAGAAATATTGACTGAAAAAAATGAAGTTCACACAGGAGGAGACTTAGTGAGAAAATGCACTTTTGCGGTGTTAAAGATCAGGATGATGTTCCTCCTCTTGTCCTTCCGTCCGCATCTGAAGGCCAAACCTCATTTCTAAAATAATTAGAACATTGTGTAAAAGGCAAATAAAACCAGAATGTTGTGATTTCCAAATATTTTCTCATGATGGTACAGTTGCCTGATTGAATCCTGGTTGCTTTCTGTTATGTTCTGTCCGTGAAAAAGAAAAAAAATTATATAGGTCCTCTGGACGGGTTCTTTAATGAAACGTTTCGTCTCTCTTCCAAGAGACTTCTTCAGTCTGAGAGTTTCAGGCAAAATTCAGGCTTTTAAGCCCAGCCTCCATGTGACTGATACATCACATGGCTATGGTTCACAGGTGAACAGTCACCTGTGAACCATAGCCATGTGATGTGAGTATC